TTGTACACTTTTGTTAAATTCATTTGTTAAATACTTTGGATAATATTACTAATGGAATTGTTCTCTTAACTTCTTTTCAATTGTTCGGCTTCATTGTTCAGATTGCTAGTGTTTTTCCACTCTGACAATGCTTTCTTATTGGTATGTTCCCATTTATCATCTGTTTTACGCCAGCAAACTTTGCTGTCAAGTACCTTTCTTTTGCCCTCATATTAAAATGTAGTTACTTTATAGGTCTTATAAACTTAGTAGCATAATTGTGTGACACTGCTTTCTACAATTTCTTTCTTTTCAAATTAGTTAAGACAATAAATTAAATAGGCATTTATACCTTAAAGATAATTATATGCCTTTATACTGTCTTTTCTTCCACTGTGTGTACTTATGCTATACTGTTTCTTTGCATGTCTCATAATTTTTCTTTTGGTCTTTTTGAGGCAGAGTCTCCCTGTAGCCCCAACTGGCCTGGAACTCACTATGTAGACCAGGGTGGCCTCAGCCTCCAGAGTGCTGGAATTAAAGGCATGTGCCACTATGCCAGACTTTCATGTTTTTTGAGATAGGGTGTCCTTGTAACCCCAGCTGGACTGGAGCTCCCTGTGTCTTGATCTCACAGAGATCTGTTAAATCTTTAGTTATGCTAAATTTGTGTGTGTTTCTTTATTCCAAATCTAATTTGGGTTGTTTTATTTATTCTTGGCTAATAGTTACTTTAATCTGTACAGTATCTTTCCATGGGATTCCTTTTCCATTTTTTAAATGAATGACTAATTTTCTATTTCATAGTCTAAGAAATTTGAGCCTATAAGCTAGGTGTGTGTGTGGTTGCACACACCTATAAAGCCGACTCAGAATTTTGTGGCAGGAAGATCTGAGTTCAAGGGTAGCCTGGTCTACATAGTCATACTCTGTTTCGTAAAACAAAGCAAAACAACAAAAACTCCTGACCTTTTTCATGCATGAATCTGGCTACATCTCAAGTATTTTCATAGATACTGAAATTTTCATTGTGCTTAATTTCTAAATAGTCTTTTTAATAAAACAGCAGCAAACTTTTAGGTAGCAGTTACTGTGTAGTAAACCTGAATAGTTTACATGTACTGATACATTTTCATTAGAATAACACTTCAGGTCCTGTTATCACTTTAGAGATGAGGAAACTGAACTTGCCAAAGTCAGTTTGACTTCAGAAGACAAGCTGTTAACCACAAATCTGTGTTGCTTCTCGCTCTGGTTCCTTTTCTCCTTACCTTATTGAGGTATAATCAAATAAAATAAACTGTCCACATTAAAAATGTGCCCCTTGACCCATTTCGACACATGGATACATCTGTGAAATTGTCGTCATAGTTAAGATAAAGAACATTTTATTTCCCTGAAAGATCCCTTATGCCACACATAGTGGTGTATACCTGTAATCCCAACAGTCAGAAGGCAGATCAGGAATTCAAGGCCAGCCTGGGCTACATAGTGAGTTTGAGGGTAGCCTGAGCTAAATGAGACTGTCTCACAAACAGTTCCTTGTGTCTGTCTCTAAAGTAGCTCCTTTCTCATTCACACTGAGGCCCACTGATCTGCTTTTAGGCATTAGAGATGTTTGTTTCCTGGGCTTTTATGAAATGTAAGCGTAGTGTATGTGGTTCCTTGCTGACTTCTTTCAGCATATTTTACAGTTCATCCAAAAAAACTCTTATGTTTTGTGTTTTAATTATTCACTCACTATTTTTGAATATTTTATTGTATCAAAGTACTACAGTCTTACGTTTTCGTTTACATGTCATTGGACTTTTGTATTCTTTGTTTTGTTCTTTCATTGGCTATTAGAAATAAAATTATGGTGTTTAGTTGTATAGGGTCTTTATGGATATACATGTTTTTGTTTTTCATGTTAAATTGCTAGGAGTGAGTGTTTAATACAATCACAGTACCAAACTCTTCTCCAAAATGGGTGTACCATTGTAAATTCCTGCTAGCAGGTATTAAAGAATTTCAGTTTGGGTTTTCATTTATAATTTTAACAATTATGGCTTTAGAGTACATTGAGTTTTTATTTTGCATTCCCTTAATATTGAGTAACATTGAGCATTATTTGTGTTTTATAGACTGTTTTTTTTAAACTTGAACAACAGAAGTGGCACCCTTCACAAATTTGTGTCATCCTTACATAGGGGCCATGTTATTCTTTACACTGTTCCAATTTTAGTGTGTGTGCTGCTAAAGCAAGCACTCATTTCTATATATATATTTATTATTATTATTATTTTTGGTCTTTTTGAGACAGGGTCTCCCTGTAGCCTCAGCTGTCCTGGAATTCACTATGTAGACCAGGCTGGCCTTGAACTCACAGAGATCCGCCTGCCTCTGCCTCCCGAGTGCTGGGATTAAAGGTGTGCGCCATCACGTCTGGCTTTCTATATATTTTTTAAAGTATTTTGTTCATGTCTTTTACTCATTTAAAATTAGGGTGTCTGGCTTCTGAGTATTGAGTCTTAAGAATTTTTGCATATAACTTGGACACAGTAATTTTTCTAAAGATAAGCGTTCTTGCTTTGTTCAGGATCCCTAAAAGAAGTGATGAGGTTCTTCAACATTATGTATAACTTAGTTGCAGATTTTTATAGATGCACTTGATCAGTTCAACTATTGCAAGTTTTCTGGCACAAGTTGTATGGATTAGGTCACATACTTTCTTTTACATCTGTTAAAATGATGATGTGTTTTCTCTCATTTGTGCTGTTAATATGATGAATTGCTTTGCTTTTTCCAAATGTTAAACTAACCTGCATCCCTGGGCTAAAACCTGGTTATCATGTGTTATCCTTTTAAAATTATATTGTTGGATTCTGTTTGCTAATACTTGGCTAAGGATTTTTTATGTCAGTAATCCTGAGGGATATTAGTATATAATTTTTTATAATGTCCTTATAAATTTTATGCTTACAGTTATATAGGTGAACCTTATAAATGAGTTGATAATGGCCTTTCATTCTCAGTTTTCCGAAAAATAAAAGTTTTGCAAGATTATTTAGTGTTTTATATATAAGGTATATTATTGTTTCTTGAATGTGATAGAATTTGCCACAGGAAATCAGTCAGAAGATTTCCTTTTTTTTTTTTTTAACATTTATTTATTTATTTTTGTGTGTGTAGGTCAGAGGTCAACTCTGGGGATTAAATTCAGGTCATCAGGCTTGGTAGCAAGTGACTTGACCTGCTGACCAAGTAAGAGTTTGCTTTTTGGAAAGATTTTTGAAGATAGATTTCTTTAATAAGTATAAGGCTATTCCAGTTTTTATCATTGGCGTCATTTTCAACAAGTTCTATTTTTTAGAAATTAGCCATTTTAGGTATGTTGTTGAATTTGTTTGGCACAAAGTTTGTAGTTTTTACTTACTCTCTTAATATGGATAATTTTTAACTTCTTTTTCATTCTGTGATTGATGGTTTTTTTCCTATTAGAAGTTTCCCCATTTTTATTCATATTTTTGTTTGTTTGGTTTTGGTTTTTGCTACAAGGTATTACTATGTGGCCCAGGTTGGCCTCAGATTCAAGATTTCCCTGGCTTAACCTCCTGAGTTCTGGGGTTACAGCTGTGTGCTACCATGCTGGACCTGATTCATCTTTAAAATTTTAAGTTAAAAAAATTACATTTTTATGTGTATGTATGTATATAGGCATATGTATGCCACTGCATGCATGTGGAGGGTAGAGGACAACTTGATCAAGTTGGTTCTCCTTCAACCATGTGGGTCCTGAGAATTGAACTCAAGTTGTTAGGCTTGGTGGCAAGTGTCTTTTATCCACTGAACCATCTGGCCTCAGATGTATTTTTTATTTTAAAATATTTTTATTTATTATTTTTAGTGTATACATGTATTGCCTGCATGTAGGTAAGTGCACCCATGTCGTGCAGTGCCCACGGAGGACAGAAGAGGCTGTCAGATCCCCTGGGACTGGAGTTATGGACAGTTGTTAGCTGCCATGTGGCTGCTGGGATTCGAACCTGGGTCTTCTACAAGAACTGTCAATGTTCTTAACCACTGAGCCATCTCTCCAGCCCCAAGATGTATTTTTTAAACAATCAGCTTTTGGCATCTTCTCTGTTAATCTCTTCTCTTTTATTGATTTCTGCCTTTTCCTCTTTTGGTTCTTTGATTTTCTTTGCACTGGATTCTTCTTCTCCCCCTCAGCCTCCCACTCTCAAAATGGAGCTTTGGATAACTTATTTTAGATTTAGATTTTCTTTTTTTTTTTAATTTTATTTATTATTTTTATTTTATGTGTATGTGTGTATTGCCTGCATATAGGTAAGTGCACCCCTGTCATGCAATACCCAAGGCAGTCAGAAGAGGCTGTCAGATCCCCTGAGACTGGAGTTACCGACAGTTGTTACTTGCCATGTGGGTGCTGGGGTTTGAACCCGGTCTTCTGCAAGAACAACCAGTATTCTTAATCGCTGAGCCATCTCTCCAGCCCCAGATTTAGATTTCCTAATATAAAACTTCCTAAGTTTTTTTTTACACTTGAAGCTCCTTTATTTTTTTATTCTTTGGTTTTTTGAGACAGGATCTGTTATAGTCTGGGATCCACAAATGCCCCAAACAGACATTATAACTGGTCAGACTTGGAACTTGCTAGATAAACTAGGCTGGCCTTAGTTTTACAGAGATCCTCCTGCCTCTGCCTCCCAAGTATTGGGATTAAAATCTTGTATCATCACAACCAACTTGAAACTCCTTTTTGCCCAAGAAAATCTTTAGGTAACTCCAGGTATATAGGTATATAAAATAGGTATACAAATCAGACATTTACTGGTAATAAATCATGAATAAATTTATTTTAAAACAATTATTTGGTTTAATTTTACAATTTATTAAAGACAAAATCAGCCAGACTTGATGGCAGTTCCTATAATCCCAGCACTTGGAAGGTGGTGCTAGAGACCAACCCATGGCTTTGTCTGTACTAGGCAAGCACTTTTCCAACTGAGCCACATCCCTAGCCCTCCCTTAGATATTTTATAGAATAGATTTTGTCCTACGCATTTCCTTTAAGTTGCTTTATAGTCTTTAACTTAAAGAACTATACAAGTAAGCCAGGCATGTTTGCACTCACCTTTAATCCCAGCACTCAGGAGCCTTGAAGTAGGTGGATCTCTGTGAGTTCAAGGCCAGTCTGGTCTACATAGTGAGTTCCAAGCCAGCCAGGGCTACAGGGAGACCCTGTCTCGAAAAACGTGTGTGTGTGTGTGTGTGTGTGTGTGTGTGTGTGTGTGTGTGTATGTGTGTACACGTGTGTGTGTGTGTGTGTGTAATATATAAATATTAAGTAAATCAAGGTAAAGATTAACTAAAAGTGTTATAGTCCGGGATCCACAAATGCACCAAATAGACAAACAGAAGAATCTAGAAAAAGAAAGAAAGATTTATTATGGCAGGGCTACACAGCCGGACTACACTCTTTCCTAGAGGGTCCAAGTGCTGCACTGAGCCTAAGCACTCTGGCTCTTTTTATATTGATCATGTTGCTAGACAAGCAAGCAGAATACAGAAGCCAATCATTGAGTGTTAAACTTGAGTAAACATTATCAAGGAAATACATAAGAAAATACAATTTTCCATCCAAACCCCCCACCTGCACAGAACTAGCTTCCTCCTCTTTCATAAATAGACATTATCAATCTTACTGTTATTCTACATTGTCTTCACAAAGCTCCCTCTAGGGGGGTTTTGTTGTATAGAAATCGTATCTTAGGTTCCTCTAAATGTTGTGGGATACTTTTTGTACAGAGAACCTATAACCAGGAGTAAAAAGTTTAGGTTCCCAAGCATACAGGTGGCGAGTCCCCTAAATAATTTCTATTCTATTAAGCAACAATTACTATTTTGCAGAAGCAAGCCAAGCATAACCTACAGAAGCCATAAGTCAGCAGTTAGCAGGAACACTCTAGGACACTCTGACCTGTTCCCAAGACAATCAAGGTCTAGCTTTCATGTGTTCCCATATCCTGGGCCAACTGCCTGATAATTTCGGAGACTAGAGTCAGCCTAAACTTTAACATGGCATAGCTATGGTTAAGAAGGTACCCTATTACAAAAGAAAACTTAATCTTGAATTATGTTTGGGTTGAAATTTTAGTATATATTCTTCTAGATACTTGATTCATTGGTGGGATAGACGGATGCACATACACATCAGTACACATCAGAATATGTAGCAAAAAAGAGAATATTATATAAAATGTATTTCTGATGTTTTAAAAACCTGCTATATAAATATATTTTCATGTGTGTGTCTATTTAGTAATAATTGGGCAGTTTTTCTAGAGTGTATATATTATGCTTTTTTTTTTTTTTTTTTTTTTTTTTTGAGACAGCGTTTCCCTGTAGCCCTAGCTGACCTGGATTCACTATGGAGACCAGGCTGGCCTTGAACTCACAGAGATTCACCTGCCTCTGCCTCTCGAGTGTTGGGACTAAAGGCATGCGCCACCACACCTGGCATATTATGCTGTAATTGTTGGACTCTTAAGATTTTTGTAAGCAGAGTGTGGTGGCCCACACCTGCAATCCCAGCAACTTGGGTGGCTGTGGCAGGAAGGTTGCTGTTAGTTCCAGGTCAGCCTGAGCTACAGAATGAGACCCTGTTTTAAAAAAACAAATTTTGTTCTAGTTCTTTAACAATAGCACATTTCTTAGTATGTGCCCAAATGTTTTCTTAGGATAGTGATCTGTGTAGGTACTTGCTGTGTAAAAGGTTATACAAACTGCTAGTCTGAGAGACTGAAAAAAGTAGTGGTGTTTAAATTTGTTTTTGGTTATTGGTAAGGCTTATTAGCTACTTTTATTTTCATGAATAGCTTATTTATAGCCATTGTCCATGTTTCCATTAGCTATCTTTTCCATTTTTATTTGTAAGATTTTTAAATTAGAAATTCCATTAGCTTTTTTTTTTTTTTTCTCTTTTGGTCTCTTTTGAGACAGGGTCTCCTTTTTGCCCCAGCTGGCCTAGAACTCACAGAGATCCACCTGCCTCAGCCTTCCAAGTGCTGGGATTAAAGGCATGCACCACCACACCCAGCTCCATTAGCTTTTTAATCTTATGACTCAAATATTTTCCCCAATGGAGTTGATCCTATTATGTCCCCCAAATAAAATGGTTACATTTTTCTGGAGTCAGATGCCACCTACTATTTGTCACCATTTTTATTTTTATTTTTATTTTCTTGTCTTTTTTGAGGCAGGGTCTCTCTGTAGCTGCAGCTGGCCTGGAACTCGCTATGTAGACTAGGCTGGCCTTGAGCTCATAGAGATTCACCTGCCTCTGTCTCCCCAGTGCTGGAATTAAAGGAGTGTACCACCATGTTCAGCAGAGTGGCGTCCTAGACCCATAAGACTCTCTTGGCTAATTGTGTATGTTCTAGATGGCTCTCAGTTTCTTGATGTTGCCTCATCTCTGAGATCTATAACTAATACACTACGTTTGTTAGTTGATGTATTTTATTTTTTCCCCAATGGAGTTAATCCTATTATGTCCCCCAAATAAAATGGTTACATTTTTCTGGAGTCAGATGCCACCTACTATTTGTCACCATTTTTATTTTTATTTTTATTTTCTTGTCTTTTTTGAGGCAGGGTCTCTCTGTAGCTGCAGCTGGCCTGGAACTCGCTATGTAGACTAGGCTGGCCTCGAACTCACAGAGATCCGCCTGCCTCTGCCTCCTGAGTGCTGGGATGGGATCAAAGGCGTGCACCACCATGCCCTGCTCTAATTTACCTTTTTAAACTCAGGTTTTAGGGTACCTCCAGAGGTCTAAGTGTGTCATCTACTTTCTCTAACAGATGCGAATCCTGAGGTGACAATGACAATGCTTCGCTGGATCTACACGGATGAGTTGGAGTTCAGAGAAGATGATGTGTTCCTGACTGAGTTGATGCAATTAGCAAATCGGTTTCAGCTCCAGCTCCTTAGGGAGAGGCAAGTCACAGCAGATATGTTCAAGCACCTCAGATGGTGGTAGCTGAGCTTAACTATGCCAGGCTCTGGGAGAGCAGCTTCCTCTGCTCATGTAAATAACTTTTGCAAGGTGTTCTTTAAGGCGATGGTGGGGAGAGACTCTGACATCTCCCTTTTTTGTGTTGCTAGCAGGCTACCTTTTGCCAGTGCTGTTCTCTTCCACTGTCACCTGAGATTCTACATTGTATAAACTGATAAACTGAATATGAACAAGTGGACTCCAACTTCCAAATTCTTGACTTTTCCTTCCATTCTGTTTTCTCCAGCAATTTATTCTGCCTTCCGACAGGTCTAGTCCGTCTTTGCTCATACAATTTCTTAGAAGCACCTTAGTGCCTAAATTAAATTTTGTAGCCAATATTTGTAAGATCTTACTTCATTTAACTTACTGCTTTTTAGGTCCCAAGAAGATAGCATGCTATGTTTTTTTTTTTTAATGCGTTTTCTGTCTCTTTCCCAAGTTGGCATTTTAGAACAATAGGAAACAAAATGTTCGTGAGACCAAATGTTTATGAAATGGTATCAGACAGAATGCTTTTGCATTTTGGAGCTGTGGCCATTGGTGGCCAGCTTCATTAATGTAGAGAGTTTTTGTGTTTTTGTTTTTGTGTTTGTTTTTTAACATTACTTTAGGATCTTTTTTTATTCTCTTGGATGCATGAAAACAAATGGCTTCTCTCCTGGGTGAATGAATGACTGGTTTTAGTCATCAAGACATTCTACCTGTTGCTATATTTACCTCACCCAAGAGAGACTTGGCTGCTTTGAGCTGCTGTTTTTACTGTGGGGCTGGTGTTTCCCTTAGGATGGCCTCAAACCCCCAAATACATGTGTAAACAGGTTCCTCCTATCTGTAATTGGTGTGGGCCTGAGTACTATGTTTTAATATCTAAATCTAATTTTTTTGTTTTTTTTTTGAGACAGCCTCCCTGTTGCCCCACCTGGCCTGGAACTTGCTATATAGACCAGGCTGGCCTTGAACTCACGGAGCCACCTGCCTCTGCCTCCCGAGTGCTGGGATTAAAGCCCTGTGCTACCACACTTGGCCCTAAATCTAATTTTAAAAACAAGTCAAGGGTCTATAGGGTTAGGTTATTAGCAAAATTAGCTTTAATATTGAGACCATGTATTTAACTATTTCGTTTGTTTTGATGAATTTTTGAACTACTTAAGAGTGAACTCATCCTGATTTTAATTAGATTGTTTATATCTTTTTTCTTCTTCTTTTTTTTTTTTTTTTTTTACCTCAGATATCCTGAGTTTTCTCTTTGACTATATCTGACTTGCTTATAAATTAAGTTACTTTAATGAAAATGTGCTGGGGTTGGTATAGATTAGAGAATTGTAATTGGCATAATGAATTCTTTAATTAAAATGTTTGTTGATAATTGACTAGTTAGGCCTTGTAACTACCAATGTGACCAGCTGCTCAAATTTGTTCTGTTGGATGTGGATATTAAGTTATCTGTCATGGCTTTCTTATGAGCTAGGCTAGAAGAGACCCAGAATTAATATACGAAGTGTTGTTGGCTCTTAGGATCAAGGATCGCCCACTGCTGTCAGGTAGAGAAATGACACATTATAGATAATGGAAGGGCTTTTGACAAATGCGTGCATTTCAAGGTCAAGTGGATAGTACTCATTTCTGTAATGGGGAGATCTTGGTGATTTGGAAATGTTTTAATTAATTTGATGAAAAGAAAGTTTTTCAAATATCAGAAAATTCTCTTAAAAATGTTTATTAAAAAATGACAATAGGGCAGGAGAGATGTATCAGTAGTTAAGAGCATTGGCTGCTCTTGCAGAGAACCTAGGTTCAGTTCCCAGCACCCATTTGGCAGCTAATAGTAGTCCATGACTCCAGTTCCAGAGAATCAGATGCCCTCTTTTGACCTCCACAGGTTTTGGATGCACAGGTGCACATACATATATGTAAAACACTCATACACATAAAATAAAAATAAAAATTTTAAAAGACAATATTTTTTCGTGATTAAAATATATGTTTTAGTGTATGCAATTTGGAAAATATAGAATTATATGAAGAAAAGTAATCTGCAACCCAACCACTGTTCACTTAGTTTGTCTATCAGTAGCTTTCATTTCTCAAATATATATGAGTTGGTATGAAAAATAGATAGGAGTTTGTGAACTCCCTGGTTTATATTTTAAAAATTAGATTTATTGTTTTTGTGCTTCTATATGCTTTGTGGATATAAAGCTAAAAAACAATACTAATAACAATATTTTTTCTTCAGCAGGAAGCCAGTCTGCTTGCTCATTTTCAAAGAAAAGTTATGAACTGAGAATTTGCATTTAAAAATAAGATTACACATCCTTTTGTTGTATAAATCCTATTAGTTACTATTTATAGGTGATCCACATGGAAGATAGCACTCTCCTGTTTCCAAATGAGTGAAAATAAAGTGTATGTCAGTTTTAACAAAACATCTGTCCTCATGAAACATATTTTGAGTCCTTTGGTGCCATGTATTGGCAGTAAGGAGGAGGACAAGGTAATTTTCAGACTCCGGCAGTTGTCTATACAAATACATTGTAAAGTGCTCTACAGGTATGAGTCGGAACTACTCGAGGTCATTCTGCATGGTAAGCCACCTGGTGTTAGGACATTTAGATAGCAAGATCACCAATATCTGTCACTGTAAGTTTTATCTGTAGGTAAGGATTTTTCTCTTGGAACTTTCCATAGTTCAGGTCAGGTCAAAGTGACTATGTCAAACATTGCTATGATATGATTGCTATGATATGCTATGCTAGGACATGGAGCCTGCTTTGTGCCACCAAGGACCTGTTTGCCTATGTGCGGGCTATCTTACCTGGTTTGGTTGAAATTTTCTTAATAGTGGTTCTGCAAAGTCTTGTTCCTTGGTTTTGTGGGGACACCTGTTGTAGTCATTTTCCTCTTGGCATGCTGTAGTCTGATTTTTTTTGTGTGTGTGTGGGGATTGAACTCATGAATGCTAGATGTGACTCTTAATTGTTTTCATATCTTACCGATATTTTGGGTGGTCCTATAAAATACAGCTTTATTGAATTTTGTTTATTTTATTTTTAAATATTTATTTTTTATTTATGTGTATGCATGTGTGTCTTGGGCATATGTACGTGGGTGCTGGTGGAGTCCAGAAGAGGGCATCAGATCACCTGGAGCTGGAGTTATAGGTGGTTGTGAGCCACCTGACATGGGTTCTGGGAACTGAACTCAGGTACCCAGGAAGAGCAAGTAAATGCTGAGCCATCTCTCCAGTCCATTCTTTCCCCCACCTTTGTTTGTGTTGTTGTTGTATTTAGTTGTTTTGTTCGGGTTTTTGTTTGTTTATTTTTTCCTTGAGACAGGGTCTCCCTGTAGCCCCAGCTGGCCTGGAACTTGCTATGTAGACCAGGCTGACTTCAATCTCACAGAGATCCACCTGCCTCTGCCTTCAGGGTGCTGAAATTTAAAGGCATATGCCGCCACATCTGGCAAATTCACTTTTTGAGAGGACATTTAAGGAGGTATTTATTAAGCATAGAACCTCATATTTGAAACTATATGAAGCTGGGCATGGTGGTGCACACCTTTAGTCCCAGCACTTGGGAGGCAGAGGCAGGCGGATCTCTGAGTTCGAGGCCAGCCTGGTCTACATAATGAGTTCTAGGCTAGCTGGGGCTATAGGGAGACCCTGTCTCAAAAAGACAAAAGAATTTAAAAAATAAATAAATAAAACTATATGAAAGCCACAGTGCTTGCATAATAGAATAATAAGCGTTGTCTGCTGGAAACTGCAGGTGTGTCCCATATGATTAAATGTCAAAGAACTGAAGTTGGTCTGTTGTATGTTTGATTTCAGAATGGCCTGTGCATATGATCAGCAGGTTTTTTGTGATTGTTTTTAAGGCTTTTGATCTATTATGCTTAATGTTTATTTGCAAGTTACTTTGATTCTGCACAGTACAGAGCAGTGTGATACAGTGTCTAGTACTTGTTAAGATGTGGGATTGCTGAGCATGTCATCTGAGTACTTGGTAGGCTAAGGCAGGAGGAGCCTGACTTCCAAAAATAAAAGCTAGCTATAATACATAAAATGTGTTATGATTAATTATAGTAAAGTCATAGTAAAAATTTATTTCAGTGATTAAAAATCCATACATAAGGGGGCTGGAGAGATGGCTCATTGGTTAAGAACACTGGCTGTTCTTGCAGAAGACCTAGGTTCGAATCCCAGCACCCACATGGCAGCCAACAACTGTCCATAACTCCAGTTCCAGGGGATCTGACAGCCTCTTCTGTTCTCCTTGGGCATTGCACAACATGGGTGCACTTAACCTACATGCAGGCAGTACACACATACACATAAAAAAAATAAAATATTTTTTAAATAATCCACACATGAATATAGGAGCCCAACTGTAATTTCTTCATAAGCATGTTGCTCAGCTTTATATACCTTAGTGTTATTGATGATAACAGTATAGCTATCATAACTTATTTATTAATGTATTTGCCTCACTATTTGCATTAATAATCTCTTACAGATGTGAGAAGGGCGTTATGTCTCTGGTGAATGTTAGGAATTGTATTCGCTTCTATCAGACTGCAGAGGAACTAAATGCCAGCACACTGATGAACTACTGTGCAGAAATTATTGCAAGTCATTGGGTGAGTGAGAGAGATGGATATGGACAGAGCCTTCACACTGACAGCCCAGATCCCAGCATGAAACCTGCGTCTGTCTGCAAGTCACCTCTGTGGCACCTCGTTGTCTCTTGTTATAGTACTAAAAGATAAGCAGTTGGATTAGATGATCTGTGAGACATTTTCAGTTCTGAAAGTCTATTTTGAGGGTTTAGAGTGAATGGGCAGAGGTGACTTAGTTTCAGAAACAGACTTGGAAAGAAGGGACACCTGCCTTTGTCTTCACCCTGTAGAAGCTGTGACCAAGCCACAGGAGGAGGAGGTCCCAGGATTCAGCAGCCTGATAGAAGAGCTTTCTGGGGAGACAGTCTTAAATGAGGCCTTTTTTTTCTTGTGTATATTTCATCATAAAGAACAAGTTACTTTTCTTTGTTACAGGTTGCATGCATATTTGTGTGTGTGCGTGTGTATGTGTGTGTATGTGTGTATGCAGGTATGGGTGCGTGGGGGTACACATGTATACTCATGGAGACCAGAGACAGTCTCTGGTGTTGCCATTCAGGCGCTTTTACCTTGTTTTGAGACAGGGCTCTCAAAATAAAAATATTTTATTTATTATTATTAGTTATTTATTTATTTATTTTGGTCTTTTTTGAGACAGGGTCTCCTTGTAGCCCCAGCTGTCCTGGAACTCACTGTGTAGACCAGGCTGGCCTTGAACTCACAGAGATCCGCCTGCCTCTGCCTCTCGAGTGCTGGGATTAAAGGCATGCGCCACCATGCCCGACTTACTCATTATTTTTTATTTTATGTGCATGTGTGTATTGTCTGCGTGTAGGTAAGTCCTCCTGTGTCATGCAATGCCCGCAGAGGACGGAAGAGGCTATTGTTGGATCCCCTGGAACTGGAGTTAGGACAGTTGTTAGCTGCCATGTGGGTGCTGGGATTCGAACCTGGGTCTTCTGCAAGAACAACCAGTGTTCTTAACTGCTGAGCCATCTCTCCAGCCCCTGGAGCATACATTTTAGGTGAGGCTGGCTGACCAGTGAGCCCCAGAGATCCTCCTGTCTCCACCTGCCCAGCACAAGGCTGAGACATAATGCTGCCACTCCCAGCTTTGTTTTCGTATTGAATAAAAATCAGTTATATTTTATAAACTCCTCTCTGCAAATTGTTTAGTATATAACATGTGGAGTCTTAGAATCGTTAGAAAAGATGTCAAAAGAACTGGCTTATATGGGCTTAGGGGCATAGGCTTATAATTCTCTTTGGGAGGCTAAGGCAGGGGAGTGGTAAGTTCAAGGTCTACTAGAACTACAAAGCAAGTTCGAGACCAGCCTGCAGAACTTAGCAAGATCCTTTTTCAAAATAAAATTTAAAAGGGGCTGGGTAGTGGTAGAGTGTTTGCTCAGCATACACGGGGCCCTAGATTTTTTGTTTGTTTGTTTGTTTTGTCTTTTTGAGACAGGGTCTCCTTGTAGCCCCAGCTGTCCTAGAACTCACTATGTAGAACAGGCTGGCCTTGAACTCACAAAGATCCACCTGCCTCTGCCTCCCAAGTGCTGGGACTAAAGGCTTGCGCCACCGTGCCTGCCTGAGGCCCTAGATTTAATCCCCAGTACCACCTGGGAAAAAAGTGTATTGAGGGGAATGGGGAGATGTTTGTTCTTTGTTTCAAGACAGGAGTTTCATTCTGTAGACCAGATTGACCTACAACTCACTGTTCTGTTTAGGCTGGCCTCAAACTTTTGGCAAACCTCCTGCTTAGCCTCTTAAATGTTAGGATTTACAGGTTTTTGCCACCATACTCGACTAAAATCCAGCCTTAAAGAACTGATGTAGAAGTGGCAACCTTTCCTTGCTAATAGGGTCAAAATAAAGAGATCTATAGTAGTGGAGACTAGCTGTCACTCAGTGAATCTTTAGTGGCAGTTCTGGTTAATTCTGAATTTGCCTTCTTTGTAGGCTTAGCAGGGAAGGGACTCTAAGGTCATGGGACAGCTCCAGCATGGCTTGGTCCCTGTTGAATGTCAGTAGTGCTGTTCAGCTGTCCCATCTCATGGAGGCCCAGCATTGCTGTAATGGATATAGTGCACTGGAGAGTGCCTCTTAGATACAGATTCTGACTCCACCTTTTCTCACTGTCAGAACTTGTGTGAGCTCTATAGCCCCTTACGGCTTTTCTTTCTTCATCTGTAAAAAAGAGAAGATTGAGGGACTGGAGAGATGGCTCAGTGGTTAAGAACACTGGTTGTTCTTGCAGAAGACCCGGGTTTGAATCCCAGCACCCATGTGGCAGCTAACAACTGTCCCTAACTCCAGTCCCAGGGGATTCAGCAGCCTCTTCTGACCTCCTTGGGCATTGCACGACTTGGGTGCATTTACCTACATGCAGGCAGTACACATATACATGTAAAACAAAAATAATAATTTTTTTTAAAAGTTTTTTTTAAAAAAGGGAAGATTGAATTAGTTGTGAAATGTTAAGTCCTTGACACGCTAAGTGCTTAATAAAAGTTCTTGGTTTACTCCATGTCTGTTTCATTTTTCACTGTTTTTAATCCCTAGGATGACTTGCGAAAGGAGGACTTCAGTAGCATGAGTGCTCAGTTGTTATACAAAATGATCAAATCCAAGACAGAGTACCCATTGCACAAAGCTATCAAAGTAGAGAGAGAAGATGTGGTCTTCCTCTATCTGATTGAAATGGATTCCCAGGTACTGTAGCTGCTTTTCCATTTTTGCCCGTCTCCCCAGACATTAAGGCTCTTGGTATTCCTTTCTTTCTGAGCCATTGCTGACATGTTCTAAGAAAGTACATATTTCTACTAATAAGTCGTTCAGGGAACTCTGGGAATTTTCTGTCCTGCTTCTTAGAATTCGACAGTCTTAGACCATTGCCCAGTCCAAGGCCAGTCTCACATTTCCAGATAGTTGCTGCAGCAGTGCCTGACCTCCCAGCCCCAAATCTGTTCTCCTTTGCAACCATAACCAATTTCCACAAAATAAATAGCTTAAAACAATACAGTTTTGCTGATTGGAGTCCAGGCCAGCCATCTCCAAACAAAATCTAGCTGTTGATAGGTTGTGGTCCTTTATGGAGCTATGGGGAGAATCCATTTCCTGCTTAATAGGTTGTTGGCACAATTCTGTTTCTTGTGGTCCTAGGTCTCTATTATCTTCTCACTTGTCAGCTGAGGACCATTTTCAGCTTCGAGATGTCCTCACATTTCTTAGCCTCAAAGGAGCATTGCCTCCATCTTTAAAGCTAGCAGTAATGGGTCAAATACTTCTAATATCATTTCTCTCTGCCCTACAAAGGTTTTGGATGGGGGCTGGGGGTTGAGTTCTAGAGGGATACTGAGAGGGTTACTGGGGGAATATGGAGTTTATTAAAGAAGTTATTAGACTGGGTGTGGTGGCACTCACCTTTAATCCTGTGTGATATCTATGAGTATAAGGCCAGCCTGGTCTACATGGTCTACGGTCCAACCAGTGGTAGGTAGTAAGAACTTTTTAAAAAGTAGTTACAATGCCATGGATAGATAGGAAAGCAACAGCATGGCAGGGGCTCCAACAAGAATTCAGGTCCCAGCACCAGAGACAGATAGCATGGAGAGGAATCTGAAGACAGGAATCAGCATCTGTATGGCAGACATTAGGCCTCTATTTATACCTTCCTGATGGAGATTTCACAGCAAGCACAAGCCTTCAGTCAAGCTCTCTGATTACCAGGCAAAAGGCAGGAAAATGGGTGGTAGGTGCCCACCAAAATCTCCTTTGATGTAAACTCAGTTCCCAGGTGAGAGATCCTGGTCCAGGGCAGCCTATTAGCTAAGGCCTCAAAGACAGTGTTTAGTAAGTAGCCTAGGGTATCTGAAAGGGGGAAGACTGCTGCACAAGCAGCACTGGATTCTAGCATTACATACTTAGATTCTTCTGCTTTTCTCCTTAACATGTAAGAGTTCATATTGTTAGACAGATGGGACCCTGCAGCATAGTCCCGGATCCTCCCCAGCACTAGGTCCTTAGCCTTAATCACATCTGCAAGGTACTTTTTGCCATGTAAGTTTACATACTCTCATTTTCTGGTAATTAGGGCATGGACATCTTGGGGGCTATTATTCTGCCTACCATGCTACCTTAAAAGAAATGCAGACAGGGGTTGGAGAGATGGCTCAGCAACACTGGCTGCTCTCCAGAGGACCCATTTTAGGTTCCCAGCACCCAAATGGCACCTAACAACCATCTGTAGCTCCAGTTCCAGAGGATTTGATACCTCTTTCTGGCCTCCTCATGCACTGAGCACACATAGTACACTTACATACATACAGGCAAAACACTCATACATAGAAAAACAAAAATAATAAAAAGACAAAAAGAAAGAAATGCACATGAAAGTATTTTTTATCCTGAGTATTAAATATGTAAGAAGGCCTTTAATTGCTAAGGAAGAATCAGTTAAGCCTTAGCCTTTCATGAAAGTGTTAACTGTTTTCCATGAAGTTCTCTATCTTGACTTGTGCCTGCCAGTGCTATGATTTTGACCTTGTTTGTACTAACCCCGAGGTCCATAATCACCTTCCATGTTGTCTCCATCTGTTCTCTAATCACTGTTATTTCCATGCTTACCTGAAAGCATGCACACTGAGGAGGCCTCATAAAAGTTTGTGAATAAGGTTGAACTGGAGGAGCAAGCAACATCATGGCATTAAAATAGGAGACTTGTGTAAGAGGTGATATTTAAGAGTCAATTGGGAGATATTAAAGTAGGTTGTGTTTCCTACTGCTGGGTGTTGATATACAAACTTATCTGTGCAGCTCCCTGGTAAGCTCAATGAAGTGGATCATAATGGCGATCTCGCATTAGATCTAGCCCTTTCACGACGACTAGAGAGTATTGCCACCACACTGGTTAGTCATAAAGCTGATGTGGACATGGTAGACAAGAATGGCTGGAGCTTGTTACATAAAGGAATCCAAAGAGGTAAGAAAGAGAAATTCTACATTCTTCTCTGTAGGCAGTATATTTTTAGCTGTATGGTTTTTGACGACTTCCCTGACTCAGTTCTGGGAATTCCCAAGAGCATTTTGTAGTTTACAGTCAGTTTGCATGACTTGTGATCATTGGTCAGAGGGACTGAAGCACTGTTGCCTGTGCCTTGTTAATTTGGCTGTTCATAGTGCCATCAGGGTCTGAGGAAGAGACACTAGACAGATGGACTTTAAGAAGTACCTTTGAAGAGCCTGAGAAATGGCTCAGCAGGTAAGGGCACCTGCTTCCAAGTCTGACAACCTGAGTTTGATCCAGGACCCACATAGTGGAAGAAGAGAACTGTCTCCTGCAGTTGTCCTCTGAACACATGCTTGTGCACTTGTGCACCTGCCCACACCCTGCTGTGCACACACAAAAATAATAAATTTGGGATTGGGGAGATGGCTCAGTGGTTAAGAGCACCTGCTGCTCTTCAGAGGGACCAGAGTGGTTCTTAGTACCACATCGGGTGACTCACAACCGCCTGTAACTCCAGCTCCAGGGCATCTGACACTCCCTTTTGGCACATGATGCACATACATATATGCAAATAAAGCACACACATAAAATATAAATAAATCAATTTTTAAAAACAGAAGAAATACCTTTGGGACTGGAGAGATGGCTCAGTGATTAAGAGCTCTTGCTGCTCTTACAGAAGACCCAAGTTCAGGGCCTAGTACCCACATCAGACAGATCACAACTCCAGCTTCAGGGGATCCTGACCTCCACAGGTACCCCTATACACATGGCATGCACAGACACATATGCATAAATAAAAATGAAAAAGAAGTACCTTTGACTTATGAGCAAGAGATGTCTACTTGTTTAATATCATTTTCTCCAGGAATTATGAAAGAAAGCTTTGCCTTTTGTAACTTAGCATGGATATAAGGAAAGTTTCCAGACCACAAAAATGACCCTAAAACCATACCCAAAATGTAAACATTTAAGTGTATTCTTGGGTTCAGGTTTTTTCTTTCTTTTCTTGTTTTTTTGTTTATTGTTTTTAAACAAGGTCTCCCTAAGTCACAGCCCACCTGGAAGTCACAATGTGAACCAGGGTGGCCTTGATCCCACCTGCTTCTGCTCCAAGGGCTGGGATTAAAGACATATGCCACCATGACCTGCGTTTTTTCTTTGTTTTTTTTTTTCTTCACTATTTTATTTATTTTTATTTTATGTGTATGAGTGTATTGCCTGCATGTAAGTGCACCCATGTTGTGCAGTGCCTGTAGAGGTCAGAAGAGGGCATCAGACTCTCCTGGAGCTGGAATTAATGGACAGTTGTTAGCTGCCATGTGGGTGCTAGGAGCAGCCAGTGCCCAAAACCACTGAGCCAACTCTCCAGTCCCCTGGGTTTTCTCTTTCAAAGATTAGACTTCTAAGCCGGCATGGTGGCACCATGCCTTTAATCCCAGCACTTGGGAAGCAGAGGCAGGTGAATCTGAGTTCAAGGGCAGCCTGGTCTACTTAGTGAGTTCCAGGCCAGCTGGAGCTACTAGGAGACCCTGTCTCAAAAAGACCAAAAAAAGGTAAAGATTAGACTTCTATCATGGTGTGTTAATAATTTTCTGTTTCCCGTTCCCTCTCATCCCTTCTTATTTCCTCCTTTGTCTCTTCTCCTGTCTCCTAGTTCCCTAAGGCTATTAGCTTACCCTCACCTCTTAAAGGTTCCACAGCTCCCCAAATCATGCTAACAGCTGGGGACCAAGTATTCAGATGCTCAAGTATGTGGGCACATTTCACATTCAAATCATAGCAGGCAAAGTGATAAAGGTGTTTTCAGAAAGTTATTTGAAATTTTTTTAGAGCTCTATTATGAGTTCATTGTCAGTGGAAAGAAGGAAAAAATGACAGAATTGAGATCAAAATGTTTTAATCTGGGGCTGGAGAGATGGCTCAGTGGTTAGAGCACTGGCTGCTCTTGCAGAGGACCCAGTTCATGTCCCAGCACCCATATGGTGACTAACAACTCTAGTTCTATGTGATCTGATGCTCTCTTCTCACCTCTACAGGCATTGCATGACACAGGTGTACTTACACACATGCAGGCAATACACTCATACACATAAAATTAAGATAATAAATTAAATTTAAAAATACATACATAATGTATGGGTTTTTTTGTTTGTTTGTTTGTTTTGGTCATTTTGAGACAGGGTCTCCCTGCAGCCCCAGCTGGCCTAGAACTCACTAAATAGACCAGGCTGGATTTGAACTCACAGAGATTCACCTGCCTCTGTCTCCCAAGTGCTGGGATTAAAGGCATGCACCACCAGGCCCAGCCTTTAAAATATATTTTTAAAATGTTTTACTCTAAATGAATTAACTAGCTTTGGTACTGAGGATTGACTGAACATAGGCTGTGCATGATAAGCCATACCTCATCCCTGAATAAACTTGGTGGGTTTTTTTGTTTTTTGTTTTTTGTTTTGTCTTTTTGAGATAGGGTCTCTCTGTCTCAAAAAACACAAAACAAAACAAATATATATATATATATACACACACATATATATATATATATATATAAAATAAAGTTTAAATATATTTTAGCTGATCTGTAAAAGTTTAAAAATTATACATATTTAATGGGTAACATAATATTTATGAAGTGAGGATTTGTTGAGCAAAAGGGAAAGCTCTCAGTGGCCAAGAGGGAGCAGTCAAGAGAAGGACCCACCATGTACATATGCTTTGTAATAGTTAAGTCAGGTTAAATATATGCACTGCCTGAAACATTCATTTGTAGTTAATTGTTTAGGTTAGCATACAAAGTCAAAGACTTTGTGCTCATTAGCACTCCACCTCACTTGCTTTCCTATCATGTTCTCCATTACCCTCTATACTTCCCACCTCCCTTACCATTGCTTCCTCTCATTTCATGATCCCCTTTTTCTCTCTGCATGTGAAAGGAAACATATTTGTCTTTCTGAGTCTGGCCTAGATTTCTTGACTTTATAGTTCCCAATTGTATCCATTTTCCTGCAAATGCCACAATTTTAATACAATCCCTATCAAAATCCAAATGACATTCTTCACAAAACTACGAAAAGCAATCCTAAAATTTTTCTGGAAGTACAAAAGGCCCCAAATAGCTAAAGCAGTTCTTAGCAGGAAGAGCCATTTTAGGGACATCACAAATTATGCTGTAGAGCTCAAATTATGCTACAGAGCCACAGTAACAAAAACAGCCTGGTACCACGCAAAAACAGACATCCAAACTGATAGAGTACAGGACCAGAAATAAACCCACACAGGTACTGCCACGTAATTTTGAGAAAGCTTTCAAAAGTATCCATTGGAGAAAAGGCAGCCTTTATAACAAAGAATGAAACTAGAGAGAGGCATGTAGATAAGGTACTTCAGAATATTGACACTGGGAAGGATTTTCTGAACAGAACTCCAATAAGCACAGGAAATATTCCAAGAACAACAAATGGAATTATGTGAAACGAAGAAGCTTCTGCACAGCAAAGAAAATAATCAATAGAGTGAAGAGACAGTAGGAGAAAGTCCTTGTTGCCTAACTCAGATGAGATTAATATCCAAGACATAACAAAAACTGCAAAGTGAAGGTTTTTTTTTTTTTTTTTTTCGGTCTTTTTTTTGAGACAGGGTCTCCTTGTAGCCCCAGCTGTCCTGGAACTCACTATGTAGACCAGGCTGGCCTCGAACTCACAAAGATCCGCCTACCTCTGCTCCCCAAGTGCTGGGATTAAAGAGGCATGTGCCACCATGCCCGGCTAGTGAAGCATTTTTAAAAGGCATCCAATCAACAGATGGGCTAATGAACTAAACAGACAGTTCTCAAAAGAGGAAATACAGATGGCCAATAAACATTTGAAAAAGTGTTCAACATCCTTAGCCATCAGGAAATGCAAATTAAAACTGCTTTGAGATTCTGTTTCACTGAGTCAGTTTGATTATCATCAAGAAAATAAATGACAGCCCAGAGAGAGAGCTTAGCAGGTTAAAACAAAACAAAACAAAAAAAGGCACTTGCTGCCAAGCCTGACAACCCGAGTTTGCTCTCCAGAACCCACATGGTGGAAAAAGAGCATCAGCTCCTGAAAGTCCTTCCCCAACCGTCATACTTAGACTGTGGCATACGTGTACATACAACACACACAAATGTTAAAAAAACATTATTAAAGAAAGAAAACAAATGACAGGGCTGGAGAGAGAGTTCAGTGGTTAAGTGTTTGCTGTACAATAGTGAAGACCAGAGTTCAGATCCCAAAACCCACATAACAAACTAGGTATGCTGCACATTCCTTCACCTCAGTTCTGAGGGGGATAGGTGCAGGAGGATCCCTGGGGCTTGCTACCTTCCAGCCTAGAGAACATGTGAGCACCAGGTTTAGGGAGAACTATTGCCTCAAAGGAATAAGCAGAGTGAGAAAGACATCTGGCACCTTCTGGCTGTATACATGCACACATGTGTACACATATGCAAATACATAAATCTTTTTTTCTTTTTTTGGTCTTTTTGAGACAGGGTCTCCCTGTAGCCCCAGCTCTCCTGGAAATCACTCTGTAGACCAGGCTGGCCTTGAACTCACAGAGATCCACCTGCCTCTGCCTCCCAAGTGCTAATCTTTTTGTTTTTGTTTTTGTAAGACAAAGTCTCACTATGTAGCACTGACTGACATAGAAGTCAGTATGTAGACCAGGCTGGCCTTGAACTCAGAGATCTTCCTACCCCTTCCTCCCCAGTGCTAGGATTAAAGGCCTATGCCACCACACCTTGCAAAAGAGGAGCTCTTATTCATTACTGATACAAATGTAATCAAGTGCACACTTTGGAAAATAAGTGTGGCGATTCTTTAGAAACATTGATAATAGAACTATTACATGACCCAGCTATACCATTCTTGGTTATATACCTGAAAGATTAATAAGTCAACATGCCACTGGGATTTTTGCGTGTCCATGTTTATAGCTGCCGT